CCGCAGGGTCGCGTCGATCGCTCAACTATGAGGACCCATCACTCGTCCGTGTATGGGGTTACGTTCCCGATGTAGGACCACTCTTCTACCCGAACACTGTGCTCAGGTGAGCAGCAGTTCCCCCTCGTTCGCCACTCAGTGCACTCATCCTTTCTTAGACGTCAGTTTTCCGACTCCGAACTATTGGGCTCTCCAATTGCCAGAGGGATATCTGAACGTATGCGGGCATGCACGACAGATATGACGAATGTAGGAAAGCTACACTCTCGGGGGTTCACTAAAAAGTGGACCACGTCACTTGACTGGCATCATGTGACGGGATCGAGCTTCAGTAGAGCTGGTCGTCGGTTCGCTCCACGGTGCTTGTGAATGCTCCCAACACATTATCACCTTCCGCGATATCCCCGATGGAATATTCAGGGCGCTGTGAAGGTTGAACCTGTTCTTGACAATCCCGGCGACTGGATGTGGTGGAGCCCTGTGGAAGGCACAGAAGGTACGGCTCGAGCAGTGTACGGGTATTGGTCCACTCGCCCCTTACAGGTGGGAATAGAGGCTTCGTGGACCGAGTTGAGGAACAACTGGAGCATGGCTACATCCCTGAGGTTCGTATGGTAGTAGACGATGATGATGATACACAAGTAAGGGCATGGGAAGTGTACTCTGGGTCATCTCGATGCTTGCCAGCTAAATGTAACAGCTCAATCTGAAATAAGCACCACAGCAATAGCACCACGGCAGAGGAAACAGTTCATGCAAGCCGGAGGGATAAGGTAGCAGGGTGAGCTATCTCTTCGTCTGATAATTCTTGCTTTTTCCCCTTGCCGTCGGTCCGCTCTCCATTTTCTAGGTTTGCAATGCAAACTTTGCATCTATCTCCATTGGAAGCAGTTCTATGATCAATTCCATATTTTCAACTGATAGTGTTGTATTCAGGTCATCCGTTTTCAATCTCACAACGGCCACCTTGGGTGCAGGAGCTTTGTCTCTTCCCTACGCCTTCCGCAACTCTGGCTATCTTGTTGCTTCTCTCTGCCTACTTGTTTGTGGCTCCCTCTCCGTTACGACAATCGGATACATTCAGGTGGGTCTCCAAGGTCTTCCTCAGAGCTCTGGAGGCTTGTGTATATCTCAGGATTGCATGGATGTCTCAAGATGCCAGACCTTTGAAAAGCTGGCTTTTAGTTGTAGTTCTAATCCAGCTCGAGGACGGAGGCAAGATACCATGTCTGTGTAGTCGCGCACTATCACATGTCAGATTGGCTCTACTTGCTATCATCAGCGTCATAACCTTCTGCTTTGGTACAGCTGTCGGGTATCTCATCACTCTCGGGCAAATAGGTGAGTCTTCATATTAATTTACTGCCATCTAACTTGGGCTAGTCGCGGGTAACATTCGTGTGGTTCGGAAGTGGTATTTTAGGTTACACGATTGGCTGCGCACTGCTGTCCTTCCCACTGCCTACTACTGCGGAGGGCGCCCAAAGCTCGTCGGGTACTGACATCATGCTCTGTATCCTGGTTTTGGTTATACTTTACCCCCTCTGCTTAGCCGAGAAAGTGAGTGAGCTCCGGATACCAAGCCTAGT